AGTTCAGCAGTCTTTATGCTTTTAAATTTAGTGGTCAGCCACGGTCACATGCTGGGGTAGAACTATAGATCACTAGCAAAGCTCGGACTCCAATTTATAAACTTGTGTTGTTAATCCTAAAGTGCACAATGCTTTTAACAAAACCATTTTGGGATATTTAGTATAAGTGTTTTTCATACAATTTTTTTCGAGTTTATTATATGTTTTCCTATCTTATGTCTATTTCAACTTTCAACCCGTTTTTAGCGTCATGGAACTGGTGGATGCTGCAATCCCATCGAAACAATTGGATCCTATTAAAGAAGCAATACTACAAGTTGAAGGTGTAAAGGTATGCACTAGATGCCTTTATAGATGTGCAACTAGGTTCTTGTAACATGTTAGATGCTTAGATGTCATGAGAGGCATTTGCTTTACCCCTGCTAATGTAGTCAAAGACTTAAGCTTTAGTAATTGGGAAGAAAACAAGCTTAAAGATACCTTTCTTCTTGATTCTGTTTCTATCTGGTTTGTGCTGTCCTCCTGCTTTTCAACTTGCAGGAGTATAGATAGTTACATGTGTGTATTCTAATGCTTTCTTCGACTGGATTGGATTGGACATTCCAACTTGAATTCAATATGCTTGTTTATTTTTTACACGTCCAGTTAGTTTGTGTGTGTGTGTATTTTGTCAATAGGCGATGTGTTTACTTGATATTAAGTTGTTAACTAACTATATTTACGTTTCTATATTTCTTCATTTTATATAGTTTGGTGTAGCTCTAGGGAGATGTCAGGCCTCCGGTGAGAAAGGTCTACACCAGGAGGACCAAGGGTGGTCTGGTGGGAGACTCAGGCCCAAATGGAATGGAAGAAAGGGGTTTGGGGGTCAAGACAGGCCCATCTGGGAATACGGGTCTGGCTAAGGAAGGGGAAGCTGACGTGGGAAGTTAGTTAGAGAATCTGAGTGGTATTTGAAGGGAGGAACGAGTGCTGAGAGGGGATCGTTTTTTGGCTAGAGCTGGTTGTTAGGAGGTTGTGGGATGCTTGAAAATCCCTCTATATCCCTTTCATTTTTCTGTGATTTCCATTTCCTTGCTGAGCTTCCAGTCAAGCTCATTTCTGTATTCCGGTGACTAGTTCTAATAATAACACTATTCAGTGATTTTCCTTCCCTTCATAATCGTAAACTCTAGTTGTTAAGGCCAGGATCCTATCAGGAGACAAGTTCTTTTTCAAGTTAATCCTGTGAACACAGGAATGTTAACATGCAAGCCTAAGCTTAATAGAGATAAGGTGGAATATCTCTAGAAACCCTATTAGAAACAATGAAAGAACTAGTATGTGAACTAGTTCTAGAGATATTCTGCCTTAGATCTCTATTGGGCTTGGGTTTGCATATGCTAATTCTTGTGGACCTCTCAGTAGGATTCGAACCCAGATGAAGTTCTGACCATCTGTCAGAGAAAAAAGAACGAATGGATCTTGTACGATTCCCAAGAACAAGAAATTCTTCGATTTCTTCCGGAAGCAGATGATTATTCATCTGCTTCTCACGTTCCGTGAATAGCCGGGACATTGAGGAATATCCAGAAAGACATTTAGTTCGCATACTGGTTTTCTCTTGATAGTTTGCTAGATTTTATATGCTATTTCTAAGTTGGGCAATTGAAAAATATTATCATCAAAGATAGTCTTGATTTATTTAGGTGTGATACGTTTCCATCAGTTTGGTGGGTGCTAAATAAGCTTAAGAATATTATTTTGCATCTACTTTTTGATTATTTGTGAAATTACTTCCAAACTTTTTCTAGGCATGCCATCGCTTGAGGGGAAGACGGGCTGGTTCATCTCTATATCTTGATGTGCATATTGAGGTTGGTTCTTCTCCAGTTCTATACCGTTAAAACTTTGAGCCTGCGACCCCAACATCTATGTGAAATTTATGAAGAGCTTATTTTTTCCTTTTTCCTTGCAGGTTGATCCCTTTTGTAGTGTTAGTGCTGCACATGATATTGGTGAAAGTGTCCGTCATCAAATTCACGATTCCCATCCTGAAGTGGCTGAAGTTTTCATACACATCGGTAAAAATGTTTTTTTTTTTTTTTATCAACTTTTTTTGTTCATAAAGTTTAAGGAATAAATTCAGAAAATTAGAGAGATTACCAAGTGGTATAGTATATATTTTATGCTAGCAAAAATATTGTGATTTAAGTTTTATTGGTAGATAAATAACTTTATTCACTAAGAGGAAAAAGTGACTTTATACTGATAGGTTTTAGAGAAGAATCAATTGGGATTAGGGCTGAATTAGGGCTTATTATTATTAATCAAATCAACTGAAAGACAAATCTTGACCTACAATTCGAGAGGTAGGTCAATCTCTCCAAAACTCCTAATTATTCCTAATAACTTGACTAGACTCAGCATAAACCTAATTAACTTGCTAATGCCCTCTTTATACTAAAACCCTAAATCCATAAAATACCAAAAGACTAATCTACCCCCCTAACCCTACGCCTAACATAAGTCTGTAGGGGCTTGGGCTTAACATTACTCCCCTCCCAATGAGACACCTTGTCCTCAAGGTGGAACAAAGGAAACTGCTCCTGAATCAAGTCAAACAGTTCCCACGTCGTTTCATAGTCTGGCAAATCCTTCCATCTAATTAGCACCACTTTATTGCCCGATTGTCCTAACTGCCCTTGGCGCACGCCTTCTAAAGCAGCTGGTTCCAACACAACCTCCATATCTTCAGTCAACGTAGGCGGTAGTAAAGGAGAGGGTGTATGGTCTCCAATAGCTTGTCTCAATTAAGACACATGAAACACCGGATGAAACACCGAAGAGGGTGGCAACCTCAAACGATAAGCCACCTATCCAATCCTTTCTATAATCTCGTAAGGCCCAAAATACCGAGGAGAGAGTTTCTCATTCCTCTGCCACACCAAGGTCTTCTGCCGATATGGTCAAAGCTTCAAGTATACCCGGTCCCCCACCGCAAATTGTACATCCCTCCTATGACCCTCAGCCTGCTTCTTCATAATCTGCTGAGCCTTAGACAAATGCCTCTTCAACTCTTCCAACATTCTATCCCTTTCTTCCAAGTACTGATCCACTTGTGACACAGGTGTCGTGCTATGCCCATAATGCACCAAATGCGGCGGGTCTCGTCCATATAAGATCTTAAAAGGAGTGGTCTGTGAATCAGTATGGTAAGAGGTATTGTACCTGTAAGAAATGGAAGATAGAAAATACTTTTATTCCTACATAGTTTTAGAGAAAATGTACAGAGATTATATAGGCTTAGTGAGGTCTAATGTAATCCCTAAAACAGAGAAACAAAATCTGTAAATAAGGAAACAATACAAAGTCAACTATCCTCTCCTAATAACCGGATTTTCTCCCCCTCAAGTTGGTGCATAGATATTGATCATACCCAACTTGCTTACACATGAGTCAAATGACTGTCTCTGTAACCCTTTGGTAAAGGCGTCAGCAATTTGTTGAGTGGTTGGTATGAATGGTACACAAATGACTCCATCTTCAAGTTTCTCCTTTATGAAGTGCCTGTCAATTTCTACATGCTTCGTACGATCATGTTGAACTGGGTTATTAGCAATACTGATAGCCGCCTTGTTATCATAGAATAGTTTCATGGGTAGTTCCACAGGTTCATGGAGGTCTTTTAGCACCTTCTTCAGCCAGAGTATCTCACAGATTCCTTGAGCCATTGCCCTATATTCTGCTTCCGCACTACTCCTGGCTACCATGCTTTGTTTTTTGCTTCTCCACGTTACCAAATTTCCCCATAGAAAAGTACAATATCCAGAAGTGGACTTCTATCAGTCACGGAACCTGCCCAGTCAGCATCAGTATAGACTTCAATCCTTCGTTGATCACTTTTCTGGAAAAATAATCCTTTTCCAGGAGTTCCTTTTAAATATCCCAGAATTCTGTAAACAGCTTCCAAGTGTTCTTCATAAGGAGCATGCATGAACTGGCTTACCATGCTAACGGCAAAAGAGATATCTGGTCGAGTGTGGGATAAATAGATCAGCTTTCCCACTAGACGTTGATATCGACCTGTATCAACCGGAACTCCTTCCCTGACCTCTCCAAGTTTTGAGTTAGGCTCCATAGGGGTATATGAAAGTTTGCATCCACTCATACCGGTTTCTTCTAAGAGATCTAGAATATACTTCCTTTGAGAAATTACCCTGCCCTTTTTTGATCTAGCAATTTCCATTCCAAGAAAATATCTAAGATAACCTAGATCTTTAATCTCAAATTCGGTTGAGAGATTCGTCTTCAACTTGTTCATTTCCTCAGTGTCATCACTAGTGAGAACGATATCATCCACATACACAATCAATACCGCAATTCTACTTTCTGCAGAAATATTTATGAACAGAGTGTGATCTGACTGCCCCTGTAAAAACCCTTGAGACTTTACAAACCTTGCAAATCTGTCGAACCAGGCTCTCGGAGATTGTTTAAGTCCATATAGAGACTTTTTCAATTTGCAAATCTTATTCCCGAAACTATCACTGAAACCTGGGGGAGCCTCCATGTATACTTCCTCTTCTAAGTCTTCATTAAGAAAGGCATTCTTGACATCTAGCTGATGAAGAGACCAATCTAGATTAACTGCAACAGAAAGTAACACTCTTACTGTATTCAACTTAGCAACTGGTGAAAAGGTTTCTGAGTAATCAATTTCGTAGGTTTGTGTAAACCCCTTGACAACCAACCGAGCTTTGTATCTTTCAAGAGATCCATCAGAATTGTACTTCACGGTGAACACCCATTTGCACCCAACTGGTGTTTTCCCTTCTGGACGATCTACTTTCTCCCAAGTTTTATTCTTCTCAAGAGCTCTCATCTCCTCAAGGACTGCCTCCCTCCACTCAAGAACTTCTAGAGCATCCTGTATATTCTTTGGAATTGCAACAAAAGACAATTTTGAGGTAAATGCCCTAAATGATGGGGACAGACTCTCATAGGATAGAAAAGTATACAACGGATGTTTAGTACATGTCCTAGTGCCTTTCCTAAGAGCAATGGGAAGATTCAAATTTTCATCTGACTCTGGAATAGAACTTGGTTCAGAAGACTCAGACTCAATAGGAATAGGATTAGACTTACTTGACTGATCTTCAACCTCTGGATTTGTTCCCAGGTTAGATTCTTGGCCATGCTCCAAGTCGTCGGTCTTTTTCTGCTGTCCTGGATACTTCCTCGAATAGACTTTCCCTTTAAAGCGATGTCCATCTTGCCTCGCACACATCTCGCTTCCTTCCTGAGTTTGATTTTGTAATGGCACAAAAGGTTGATTCCCATTATTTGAGATATCTTCATTTTCAATGTTTACCATGGTCTCAGATTCATTGGTTTTTTTTCTTTCCTCGGGTAAAAAATCTTCCAATAGCCAATTAAAAGATGAAGAATCTTCACTAGATGTCTCCCCCCGAAGATGAGTTTTACAAAAGAAAGGTTTGTCTTCAAAGAAGGTAACATCCATAGAGATAAAATTTTTTTTTTGGATATTGGATCAAAACATTTGTATCCTTTTTGAGTTGAAGGGTAACCAACGAAAACACATTTTCTTGCTCTAGGGTCAAGTTTTCCGCGATTGATATCATGAACATGTACAAATGCAGTACAACCAAAAACTTTAAGGGGAAGATCGTGTGAGAGCCGAGAGAGGAAGGAAAGTGTTCCTTAAAACAATTTAAAGGGGTTTGAAATTTTAAGATTTTCGAAGGCATTCTATTAATCAGATAGGTAGATGTGAGAACAGCTTCACCCCATAAATATTTAGGAACATTATTAGAAAGCATTAAAGACCTTGTTACCTCTAAAAGATGTTTATTTTTCCTCTCGGCAACCCCATTTTGTTGTGGAGTGTAGCTTTGGTGGACAATACCATTTTGCTCGAAAAAATTCCCTAGGATTTCATTTAAATACTCTTTGCCATTGTCACTCTTGAAAACTTGAATCTGAGTTTGAAATTGTGTTTGAATCATTTTATAAAAGGTTTTAAACACATTTTCAGCTTCTGATTTTTCATGGAGTAAAAACACCCATGTGATCCTAGTATGGTCATCAATGAATGTGATGAACCATCTTTTTCCAGTGATTGTCCTTATTCTTGAAGGTCCCTACACATCACTATGAATTACAGAAAAAGGTTTTGTGGGCTTGTAGGGTTGTGCCGGAAAGTAAGTGCGACGGTGCTTGGCAAGTTCACAAATTTCACAAATTTCACATTGAAATGAAGATGGATTTTTATTCAAAAACAACTTTGGAAATAGATGTCTCAAATAATAGAAACTTGGATGTCCTAACCTAAAATGCCATAACATAATTTTATTCTCATTAGGAATTGAAATAGAATTGAGGCAACTTCTCTGAGATTGCCTATTCTAGTCGTATCCATCTTCAAGTAGATATAGACCTTCAACTTGCTTAGCATTGCCAATCGTCTTCCCCGTGATCAAATCCTGAAATTGACAACCGGAAGAGGAAAAATTAGACTGACACGTTTGATCAATGGTTATTTTACTGATCGACAACAAATTACATGACAACTTGGGAACATGAAGAACATTATGGAGTGTTAACAAAGGAGAGATAACAATTGATCCTTTCCTGGCTACAACTGAGAAAGAACCATCCGCTATTTTGACTTTTTGATTTCCTGCACAAGGGTTATATGAAGAAAAAAATTCTGATGATCCGGTCATATGATCCGTTACTCCGGAATCGACTATCCAAGAATCTTTTGAATTGACACTTAGACACGACGCTATTAGATGATTACTTTTCTGAACCCGAGAACAATAAGGATTTGAATCATTGAGATTTTGAGACTGGAGAAGTTTACAGATTTGCTCTATATGTTCCTTTGTGAACGACGGCATTCCAGAGGTAGCTTCGGGCCTTGATTTAGAAACATTGGCTTGAGAGGCACGGATATCTCCAGGTGTTTTCTTCTTCCAGTTGCTTGGTTTGCCATGGATTTACCAGCTTGTCTCCCGAGTATGCCATGGTCGTTTACAATGATCACACCAAGGCTTCG